GGAATGGTCTGCCTGGGGAGGTGGTGCAGTCACTGCTAGATTCATCCCACAGTCAGAGTGCCTGCTCCATGGGCTCAGCTTTATCCTGTCTGGTCTTCTTTCCTGCATCCTCCTGTCCTCTGCTCCCTGGTCCTTGAATTCACTTCACCTTGCAAGCTGGGTGTCTCTGTGTGAGGCACACTGACCTGGGAGCTCCAACACAGCAGTTCCAACTACCTGATGCCCTTGGTTCACAGCAGGGATATTCCTGCTCCATTGGGAACAGGAGGACACCTGTGTGGAGATGGACAATTTGCTCATTCACAGAGGATGCACCTTGGAAAGAGTTTTGGTGTCATGTTATGGGAAGCCTTAAGTGTTATGGTTAATGCTTAGAAAAAGGGTCCCATGTGAGGGTTACTCAGCACCTCTGATGTGGGAGGTGAGGGGGTTGCCAGGGCTGTGCTTTCCAGGATTTTCAGGCTGTGTGTGCCCTCTCCCTGCAGGCCGGCCATACCGTGGGAAGCCCAGTGACATGTGGGCGCTGGGGGTGGTGCTGTTCACCATGCTCTACGGCCAGTTCCCCTTCTACGACAGCATACCTCAGGAGCTCTTCCGCAAAATCAAGGCTGCCGAGTACACCATCCCCGAGTGAGTACAGCCTGCCCTTCCTGCCTGGCCACGGGGGGCTTACTGGGCCAGCTGCAGCTGGAGGGGCTCCCCTCAGCACCCCAAGGGTCACAGCAGTACTGACAGCAGGCTGTGTGCAGGAAGCAGGAGCAGGGTTGGGAGAGCTCGTGGGAAGGAGCAGAGCAGTGATAGCTCATGTTGCTCCTGGCCTGTGCTCCCAGTATGTCCATCCTGCCACGCTGTGCCCACCCCAGGCTCACCCCTGCTGTCTGTCCCAGGGATGGCCGGGTCTCTGAAAACACTGTGTGCTTGATCCGGAAACTGCTGGTCCTGGACCCGCAGCAGCGGCTGACGGCTTCTGAAGTGCTGGATTCCCTCAGCTCCATCATAGCGTCCTGGTATGTGCACGGGGAGACAGGACACGCTGTCTCTGGCCACAGGCTGTGTTGTTCCAGCTGTGGCTGGCTCACCTCACCAGAGGAGAGTCTGGGAACTGCTGTAAGCCTTTAAATCCCATGTGTCCACCACTGTGTGCTGATGGATACAGCTGGAGAGGCCTGTGCAAGTGCTTATGGCAGCCGTGGCCATCCCAGTGGGATCACCCTGGGGCTGGTTGAGGGTGGCTGAGCCAGTGCCATGCTCTGGATCCCAATGCTGTGCTCTCCTGCAGGCAGTCCATGTCCTCGCTGAGTGGCCCTTTGCAAGTGGTGCCGGACATAGATGACCAAGTGGCTAATCCCGAAAACCCCCAGGAGGTAGGTTTCCCTGCTTTCCACAGAACTGCTTCTCTGTGCTGCTGTGCCAGTCTGTCTGTGATGGCACCCATTGTGTCCTCCAGCTGGGAAGGGGAGGGTGGGGAGGACGCAGCCGAGTCCCTCACGTTGTGCAGCGGAAGGAAAGGCCGATGCTGCTGGGAGCAGGAGGCACATCCAGCTGGCTGAGCTGCCAGGAAGTGAGCTCGGCCCCGGAGCTGATGAGAGCAGCTCGCTCCGCTCCCAGCAGCGCTCACTCCCTCTCACACAGCTGGGAATGCTGGGAGGAGGCAGCAGTGTTGGCTCTGGCTCCCAGTGAGCTCTGCCATGGGAGCAAACATCCTGTTTTCCTGCCGGTATGTTTCATGCTAGAAGTGTCAGCCATGGCCTGGCTGCCCAGGGTCTGTGACCGTGCCGCAGGGACAGGGGTCAGGCAGCTGCAGCCTCAATGCTGCCAGGGTTGGGATGAGCCATGTCAGGACAGAGCTGCTGTGGTGGCCTGAGCTGTGTCCTGGTGGCACTGCTGGCTCACAAGGAGTCCTGCCTGCATCCCCAGCAGCAGGGCCCTTTCCAGGGTTATGACCCCCGTTATCCCGTGGTAGCTCAGGCCCATCAGAGGAGCCGTGGGGCTGCCAGGTGTGGCTCTGACAGGTCGGTCTCTGCAGGTGAAGGTGACGGAGGAGTGCTCCCAGTACGAGTTCGAGAACTACATGAGGCAGCAGCTGCTCTTGGCTGAGGAGAAGAACACCTTGCATGAGGCCAAGAGCTTCCTGCAGAAGCGGCAGTTCGGGAACATCCCGCCGGTGCGGCGCCTGGGCCACGACGCGCAGCCCATGAACCCCTTGGACGCGGCCATCCTGGCCCAGAGGTACCTCCGGAAGTAGCTTCCCATGCCCCAAGAGCACGAGCACCACCCTGCAGCCTGCCCTCACCTCGCCTGCTCCAGCCTACAGCAATACCGGTGTCCCACGATGGGGAATAATGTAGCAATCCCAAGCTCTGTCCAGGGACACGCACTCACACCCGCTCCGGACGGAGAAGACTTTTGGAAAAGCTAGTTTTGGAAGCAGCAACCTCTTGGCATCTTCTGGAATCTGTTTTTTAAAATCGAAGCCTAGATGACTAATCTGCTTTTGATCATGACTGTAATCTACCTCTCTTGTCTTTTTAACCATGCTGTTCTCTGGATCGAGCAAAGCCCGTGGGAAAGGAGGAGACTTCCAAGGGTGAAGCTGCTGGCACAGAGCCGTGGCCGTGCAGCGCGGAGCCGGCCCGTGGCGCCCGCTCCGTGTGGTTTGAATAAGCTTGGATTTATCAGGGTTTCTCGAAAGGCAGAATTTCTTGAAACCTCCCACTTCCCTTCATCTGCATCAAATCTGTTTCTGTCCTTACGTGCCACCTGGTCAGTGTGGCCACCGCTGTGACCGGAGAGCCCGGCCACCGCCTCAGGCAGGAGTTGAGGAGTCCGGGCAGGGATCAGATCCTGTCCCCAGTTCAAAGGTTTTGCAGGACTTGGCCCGCCAGGGCTCCTGCCCCCTCTCCCACCTCTCACTGATTCCTTTAGTTTATAAGGATCTATGATTTAATCTTATTTTTCAGTAGCATATCCCAGGTGCAGTTACAGTTGCATTAATTCTGATTTAGCGTTTCCCCCCTCAGTTGTGGTACAGATGTAATATATGAGTTATAATGTGAAAAGCTTCCCAAAATAATTTGCCTAGAGGTAGGAGGGGCTGGCTGAAGTCTCTACTGTATTTGTTCCCAGCTTTTCTTGCCATCCCAGCCCAAACCTGGGGCTGCCTCTGCCCTCATGCCAAGGCAGGAGAAGGACATCCTGGTTTGTCACCTGGTGCCACTGGAAGAGCTTTGGCCTGTGCTGAGAGCAGGAACGATTGTTTCTGAGCCTCATTTATGAACTGGATGCCTGTCTTGCCAGATGAACTGTTCTCACACAGAGCTCCCAGGGCTCCCAGTGCCCTGGCCAGGGCTCCTGCTCAAGGCAGCACCTTTTTCAGCTGCCTCCTTCCCTGCTCCTGGCTGCTCCCAGCCCTGGCATCGCCCTCCTGCCAGCCCTGTGAGCAGGGAGGGTTGGAGCTGGGGGGGCTGCTCTGCTTTTTGGGGCTGCACTGCTCTCTGGGCCCAGCTCTTGCAGCACAGTGGGCATGGGCAGGGAGTGATTTGCAGATGTTTGTAGCGTGTTGTTGCCTTTTCTTGCCCCGGGCTGGGGAAGGGGACGGGGTCTAAGCTGGGCCACGCCAGCAGTGGCTTTGTGGGGACAGGGGGCTGGACCTGAACCTCCCTGGCCATGTCGGGCATTACGTCCTGCCTGCGCCTCGCCAAGGCCCTGTGGCCAGGCAGGGCCTCGTGAACACTAACACAGACCAGCTCCCTGCACCGCTCCAGCTGAGCCAGTAGCCCCAACTCTTTCGCCTTATTTATTTTGAAGATGGTGGGTCTGTCCTGTGGGCCCATCACCCCCTGTGCCACCAGCAGCAGGGCAGGGATCCCCTGAGCACCCCAGCAGGGCCCTGCTCTCTCCTTCTGGTTCTCTCCTGCCTCACTCCCTGTTTATTTTTACTGTTTTTCCCCAATGTTAAAGCAAAAAGCAATATTCTGGGACTCCCTGAGGCTGTATCACACCAGGATCCTGCAGTGGCAGCACCGGTCAATCCACTTGTGCTAAGGCAAACTGGAAGGGGGTGGTGCAGGGGACATGGGGGGGCCACAGGGCCACGGCGGGACAGAGCCTGTTGTAAGGAAAAAATAGAAAAAGAAAAAAAAAAAGGAAAAAAATTTGTATAAAGACGTTATTTTTGTACTACATCGGAACTACTCCTGCATGTCGGCAATAAAACTTCATACGACAGCCCGGCGACCCCACAGGGAAGGGTGGGAGGGATGGGTGGCATGGGGGATTTTGGGGTACTGATGTGCTCTGGGAGGGGGGCAGGCTCACAGATCAGCGGCCCTGAGTGCCCCATGGGACCCCCAGCCCTGTCCTGGCCCAGGGCCCCGAGTGCCACTGAGCCTGTCCCTCCCGGGCCGGCCTGGAGTGGCCGCTGGGGACAGCGGTGGCATGCGGAGCCTCGTGTCCCCGAGGTCCGGCCCCAGCAGCCCTGGCGTGTCCCACAGCTCGGCTGGTGGAGCTGAGGGGACCACCCTGCCGTGTCCCCCACCTCCGTGGCGCTGGCACCAGCCCCGGCAGCTCCCTCAAACGCACACCGGGGCTGAGCCCCCCAGCCCGGAGGGCTTGCCTTGGCTCCGGCACTGCCAGCCCAGCCTAGGCTGGGCACAGCCAAGCCCGGCCTGGCCGGATGGGCGCTGGACAGGGCTGGGACGGGGCCTGGAGCCGCCTGTGGCCCCGCTCCGGGGCGGTTCCACTGCCGGGCCGAGCGTGGCGTCCCGGGGGAGCGGGACGAGCCCCGGCCCCGCGCCCCGCTCAGCCCCGGCCGGGGCTGCCATTGGCTCCGGCGGGAGCGCTGACCGCCAGCCGCCTCCGAACTATTTCCTGTTGCTGCAGCGTTAATGCTAAACAGACCTTGCTCTCTCTTCCCTCGCTCCAGCCGAAGTGCAGCGGCTCTGCCCCGCCGCCTTCCCGCCCCGGTGAGTACCAGCCCCGGGCACCCCGGGGACCTCGGTCCCGTCCCCGCTCGGGTGCTCTGGCGCTGGGGACGCGGGCCCGGTGGGCGCGGGGACACGGGGGCTGAGGGCACAGGCTCGGTGACACAGCTCGGGCTGCGGGGACGCAGCGTTGAAGATGCGGAGCAGGCGGCTCGGGGACACGGTGTAATGCGGAGTGCACTGAGCAACTCGGGGCTCGGCTCTTGGGGACCCGCAGGGCCCTACAGCCAGCCCGGCCCCCCTGAGCACCCGCCAGCGGCAGGGGATCCCTGGGGTTCCATGGTGGGCTGTGCCCCTCCTGCCCCACCGCAGCCCCTTGCCGGGGCAGGGGCAGGCGCTGGCCGAGCAGCTGCTCCATGGCGAGGGCACCTGCCCCTCCTGGGGACCCTGCTGTCCTTGTTTTGGGGTGTCCCACTAGAGGGGCTGCCCAGCTCCAGGGCGTGCTGCGGCCCCTCAGCTCTGGACCGTTCGGGATGGTTTTGCTGATGTGTCACATTTTCTGCATTTCTTTCCTCATTCCTCCCTCTCTGGAGCCGTTTCTGGGAATGAGCTCGTCCTCTGCCAGGGCCAAATTTTCTCCCGCCCTGCCCTGCCCGGTGTCCTGCCTCCCATCCTTCCCACTGCCCTGCTGCCCATCCTTCCCGCTGTTCTGCCTCTCATCCTGACCGCTGGCCTGTCCTGGTGGCCTTTGCACTGTGCCTGGCCTTGTCCCTGCACTGCAGGGTCCCACGGCAAAGGGCCAAGGTTGGAACTGGGCCAGACCAGTGTGGGGGACAGGGACAGGGACAGGGACGCTGCCCCAGGAGTGTGTGGAGCACACGTGTGTGCCCATGAGCACCGGCAGCCTGGTGCTGGGACTCTGCTCTGCCCCATGACCCATCCCATGGCCGGGCATGGGACACAAACCCTGGCCCGGTGCCACAGATCCGCCTGATGCCGTGGCCAGGAGGAGCCGTATCCGTCCCGGTCCCTCAGGAAAGACGGAGGGCGGCGGGAGTGGGACAGCTCCAGCTCTGCATCCGTGGGGTTCCAGCCCTGGATGGAGCAGCCCAGCCCAGGCACGAACCCCTGCTCAGCTGGAGCTCATCAAGGAGCCCCCGGGCACACCCGGGCACGGCCTTGAGAGGGACAGGGCGCTAGGGGGGGATCCCAGCTCCTGCAGAGCGTTGCTCAGCCCGTGTCCCGCAGATGCCCAGCATGTGCCATCCCTGGAGCCACTGAGAACTGCCAGGCACAAGGATGGAGAGTCGCCGGAGGGACATGGAGCTGCTCAGCAACAGCATGGCCGCGTACGCCCACATCCGAGGTGAGCCAGGACGCGTCCGGGAGGTCACCGCGGGCCCCGGCAGGCGCGGGCAGGTCCCTCACCCCCTCTGTTCCCCCCGCAGCCAACCCCGAGAGCTTCGGGCTCTACTTCGTGCTGGGCGTCTGCTTCGGGCTGGTGCTCACGCTGTGCCTGCTGGTGCTGCGCTTGTCCTGCCGGCCCTCCCCGCGGCCCCCGGCGCGCCCCGGCGACCTCAGCGAGGACGACGACGACGAGGACGAAGAGGACACCGTGGACCGCGCAGCCTCTGAGTCGCTGCTGCCGGTGACCGAGATCCCGCTGGAGAGCCACGGCCCCGGGGACGGGGCGCTGGCCGTGAACGTGTTCGCGTCGGCCGAGGAGCTGGAGCGGGCGCAGCGGCTGGAGGAGCGGGAGCGCATCATCCGCGAGATCTGGCGCAACGGGCAGCCCGACATCCTGGGATCCGGCACCATCGGCACCCTGGGCCGCGTCCACTACTACTGAGCCCGGCAGCTGCCCTGGCACGGTGTCTGCTCCCCCCACGGCTGATCCCACACCGTGCCAGGAGGGACCGGGGGACAGGGGGTCTGCCCCTGAGCTGGCGGAGCTGCCTTGGACTGTCTCTGCAGCACGGAGAGCCAGACCCCGGTGTCACGGCTGGACTCGCCCCCGCCGCTGTGGGACACGATGCACTTTGAGCCATTGGTACGACGGCTGGCACCAGCCGAGCAGCCCCGGGACACGCGGGGACAGGGACAAGGACAGGGCAGCCCTCGCTGCGCCGGGGTTTCACCCGTGGGGCAGGGCCGGGCTGTACGTCCGTGTGAGCCGTGGGCTCCCGCCCCACAAACATGGTGCTGTTGTACACGAACTAGAGCCCAGCGTGGCGGGTCCGGCGTTTTGGGGGCCCTGGACACAGGGACGGTCTCGACTCCCCCCCGAGCCAATTCCCTTCCCGTCCCCACTAAAATTAGCCGGGTCTTTTCCGGCGCCGCCCGCCTTGACCCAACGCCCTGCGGCCGGACCAAGGCGGATGTTCCCGCTGGACTCTGCGCCGGCCGCTGCTCCCCAGGGATGCGGCAGCTCCCTCCGGGCTAAGCCGCATCCTGCCCCATCCCAGCCCAGCCCCGCGGGGTGCCGGGCTCCGCTGCCCCCTCCCCGGCAGCTTTATAAAAATAGCTCCTTCCCAGGCCGGTTCCCCCCGCCGCCAGCGCCAGCAGGATCCAGATGTTTTCCAGATGTTCTGCAGTGGCTGGAGGCCAGGATGTGCTGGGGCTGGGACTGGAGCTGGCCTGGGAAACTGTGCGGGGGTGGAGGAGGAGGGGGAGGAGGTGAAGGGGGAGGAGGAGGAGACCCTGCCCCAGCCCTGCCACGAGCCCTGGAGGGACCCCTTGCGCCATGGTGGGACCCTTTGTGCCTGGCAGGACCAGCCCAGCCCTTCAGGGGCATGGCAGCCAGCAGCCCTGAGCAACCCCCACACAGCACTTTGTACACAAAATAGTTTATTTTAAACGATTTCTACAGGTCATGGGGCTGTCATGCTTCAAGGAGCAGTGCCGGGGTGTGGGGTGGGCATTGGTATCCGATGGGTGCTGGGGGCACACGGAACCATGTGCCACCCACCTGCCCCCCCATGCTAACAGGGCAGCCCCTTCCTCACTCGCTCGATCTCCGCCTGTGGAGAGAGGCTGTGATTGTTGGGGGGCACAGGGGACCCCAGACAAGGCAACCCCTGGCAGGGACTCACCTGCAGCACCTGGCGCTGAGCCCGCTCCTGGCACAGCTCCTGCCGCAGCTCCTGCAGGTCCCGCCTGCAACACGCCAGGGTGGCTCAGCTGGGGACAGGACAAGCAGCCAGGAGCCACTGGGGACCCCCTGACACCCCCATCCCCACTCACAGGTGCTGGACTCGCATCAGGTCCACAAGGATGTGCAGGGTGCGGACCTCAGCCTTCAGGTCCTCCAGGGCCAGAGACCTCCCCTCCAGCACCTCCAGCCCCTCTGTGCTCCATGGCAGGACGGGTGCCTGCCCCGTGCTGGGGACAGGGGCACAGAGGGCAGCACGGGGCAGCCCCTGGGGCTGCTCCCCACCATGGGGACCCCCCGTGCTCCCCAGGGCCATGCTGGGTGGCCGCTGGCCAGGGACTCGTGGCCGTGTGGCTGTGGGGTGGCTCAGCCTGGCTGTGGTAACTGACACCATGTTGAAGCCATTGGCATCTGCCAAAGAAAGAACAGGAATCAGCCCCTGGTGCTGGGCAGGGCCCACCCACCCCTGAATCCTACCTGGGTCACAGGCTCTGCCCCACTCCATGTCAGCTGAGGCACTGGGCTGGGGGTCACTGGGCCTGGGGACAGCAGAGGTGTGAGTGGCACAGCCAGGGAGGTGCCAGCCCCACGCCGAGGCCAGCCATGAGCATGGCGCTGGCACTGGGACATCGCAGTGGCCCTGGACACCCCAGCACAGCCACAGGTTTCTTACTTGGTGGCCAGGACAGGGGCTGGTTTGGTCTTGGCAGGAATGGGGGGAGCAGGAGCCATCCTCTTGGTGAGTGGGAGCTTGGTCGGCTCCATCCTCGCTGGTGCTGGGAGCTCTGGGGAGAGGAGGCAGAAGCAGGGCTGGGGCCGGGACCGGCACTGACGGGAGTGGGCAGGAAGCGCTTCCTGCTCGTGACATGCCCTGGCCCAGGCACATCCCTGTCCTTCCCTCTCCTCCAGCCCAGGACTCACCCGGGGGGCTCCCTGTCCTCGCCCTCCTTGTTCTTCTCTCTGGTTGCAGCTGCTGGGGAGCAAAGGGGCTCGTCAGGTGCTGAGGAGGGACCCTTGTTCCAGCCTCTCCCAGCCCCACACCAGCCCCGCTGTGGTCGGCGCTTCCTCTGTGTGAGGCGGAGCAGGCAGCTGCAGAGCTGCCGTGAGCTCTGCGGCACGGGCAGGGTGTCATCCTGCCACCAGGGCTGTCATCCTGCCGCCATCCACGGCTCAGCAGCATCCCTGAAGTGCTGAACCCTGGGGTCACAGCAGGACAAGCCCACTGGCGTGGTGGGATACAGGACATCAGGCCATGATGGACCATCCTGTCACCATGGCGGGCCCCCCTGTCACCACGGTTGGCCATGCTGTCCCTGTGGAGGGCCACCATGTCCCTGTGGTGGGCCACATTGACCCCATGGTGGGCCAGCAGCCCTGCTGCTGCCACCAGCACAGCCCTTGTCACAGAGACCTCGCAGACACCAGAAATGGTGCTGGTATTGCCCACCCAAAGACAAGGCTGAAGCACCAAGGGCTGCGGGGATGAGAACACCCCAGTCCAAGGCCCCAGTGCTCCTCGGCTCTGCTGGCACAGGGTGATGGTGCCCAGAAGTGCCCAGCATCCTGCCCGCCCCTCGCCGGCAGCTCCCCCGGGCCCCTGGCACGGCCCGGCCCTGGAGCACGATGACACAAGGGCGCTAACCTGGGGATGATCCCGTGCGCGGGACCCTCCTGCCTGCCGCTGCGGGGCTGCCCCGAGGCCGAGCGGTGCCGTGCCGTGCCAGGCTGCCCCGGCCCCACGCCGTGCACGTGATGCCGGAGGAAATCGGCTCCACGCTGGGAAGGAAGTTGAAGCAGAGCGCACCTCAGGGCTGGTCCACGCCACATCCCTGTGCCCCACGGGGGGCTCCTGCTCCCCGGCCCGGCTCCCCGAACCCACCTCGTGTCCTTCCCGGGCTGCCCGGCCATCCCGGGCTGCATGGGCACCAGGGCTGGATGGGCACCAGGGCCGGGCTGACGGGACTCCCTGTGCCGGGACGGCAGCGCTGGTTTCGGCTGTGCGAGAGGCTTTGGGTGAGGGTGGGACGGGAGGGCGCTGGGAGCGCTGGCACAGCAGAGCCCCCAGACCCGTGTGTCCCCTGGCCACCCCCAGCCTGGAGCCCTCACCCACCTTCTCCCGGGGCAGGGCCGGGCCATCCGTGCCACCGCGGGGGCTCGCTGCTGGCACTGGGGAGCCGGGGCCAGAGGCGCCGGGCCGGGAGCGCAGCCGGGCCGGGGTGACAGCTCCCACTCAGCCGGGCCTCACAGCGGTTCTGTCACCCTCGGCTGGAGGGGAAGTGAAACCCAAACCGCAGAGGGGCCGAAACCCACAGACCGTGATGCAGGGGCGGTGCGGCCACGCTGCAGCTGTCCCTCCGCAGGGAGTGAAGGGTCAGTGAGACACCAGGGCTGCCCCTGGCCACTGCCCGGTCCAGGAGACAGCGTGGATATTCCTTTTGGCCGAAGCATCTGACCCAGCAATACCGAGCTGGGGGCAGGGACGGGGGCTGGGAATCAGCCGTGGGGCAGAGATGGGTGGCAGAACAGAGGTTCCATTGCACTCCCCAGGTGTGCCCACTCAGGCCAAGGAGCTGGGAACTCTGGGCACCCATCTCCTCAGGCTGGCTCAAGGCTGAATGTGAAGGGAAGCACCAGCCATTAACCCAGCACTGTCCCAACAGCTCTTGGCCAACACCGTCACCCACAGCAGCCAGGAAAGCTGAGCTCCTGCAGAGGCTGCACAGGCAGCAGCCCCCCAGCAGCCTCCCTTGGGATGGCAGCGATGGAGAAGCAGCTGCTGCTGGGCACCAGCCAGGGCAGCACACGGGGCTGCAGCTGCCCAGCACCGGGACCAGCCCGTGTGAGCTCCTGGAGGAGCTCGGGTGGGAAGGATGGAGCTGCTCCTGTGCACGGGTGACACAATCCCTGCTGGCAGCAGGCAGGGCCTGTGGCTGTGTCACCACTGTCCCCAGGCAATCAGTGCCAAAACAGGGGCTGAATGATCTATTAGTGCATAAAACCCAACAGGGAGTTGCTCCCCTGTTGCTCCTTTCAGGCTCCCACCCAGCAACTCAGGACACAAACCAAGCAGAGTTACACCTACGACTTATTTTATTGTATTTTATTTGCATAAACAAACTTCGGGGCTTTGCTAAACAGGAACTGTTCAAGTCAAAACAAACCAAACTCTAGCTGGTGTGTGGGGAACAGCACAGCAATCCTGGGGAGAGGGACAGGGGGAGCAGGGGCACGGCTGTGCCTCCCCGCCCAGGCTCACGACCTGGCTGGGAACCCTCCACAAACTGCTCCAGAATATCTTTAAAGTAGAAGATAAAAAGAAATGCATCCTAAGGGCCGTCCTCAAGCAGCTCAGGAGGAATCTGCCTTTTGGTTTTATAAAAAGATTAATAAAAAATATTGAAAAATTCTCATCTCCATTTATATTTTTTTCCCCAAGAAGAATTCGGAAGTTCCTTAGAAAACTGTGTCACCTTGGAAAGGGCACTCGGGTCACAACCAGCTGCAGGGAGGAGACACAAATGCTACAAGCAGTTTGGGGTCCAGCACACACCAGGCCTAATAGTGAACACAAACAGTGGCCAGAAGTAGGGTGTAATTTTTTTTCTCTTTTAAACCATGCTAATTTTGTTAACTTCCAACATAAAAGGAAAACAAAAATTTTTAAAAGGCCCTAAACTCAACTGTTACATTAAAAAAAGTTAAAAAAAAAAAAAAAGTCATAGCAGTTTGGTCCCAACAAATGAACATTTAGATGTTTACTCACATGCTTCATTATTTTCTTATTTATAAGAACCAAAAATAGTTTCCAAAATTATCTCTGAATTGATGCTACTACGTATGTAAAGGCCTAAAATAAGCAGAATTTAGAAAATTGAATACACAATAGGGGAGGAAAATTTGAGCGGGTGAATGAACCCCGACTATCACTGGGTCAAATTATAAAAGAGAAACAAAAAGTCAGGACAGGCGAGGTCAGGTGGGCACAAACTAAAACCACATCGTCCTCAAAGCCTGTTACCAAAAAATAACCGACCATCCATAAGGTCACAGAGAAGGGAAAATCTGGGGTCTCACCCAGCACTTGACCGTATCCAGTCCAGAAGGGAAGTCTTTGGGAAGAGAAACTCCAGGAGTGGATCCGAGCGTAAATGATGGATCAGTCCCAGTCCGTGCTTGGGGAGGCTGAACTCTGGAAATGCAGTTAAATAACGTCGGGATGGTTTCCGAGCTGCTCTCCAGGGCTCTGCTCAGCACGTGGGGATCACCCTGACACCCCAGCACCAGCCTGACCCCTCCCCTCCTGCCAGGGCTCCCAGCACCGCGCGGGCCCCGCGGCTACTCGGCCGTCGTCTGCAGGGCGTCCTTTTCCTCCCGGTTTTCCGTTCCGCTTTCGTCGTCTTCGATTTCTCCCTCTTCCCCACTGAACTTGTCATGAGCCCACTTGGGGCTGGTGCTGGACTTGCGGAACATGAAGCGGCCTCTTCCCCGGGGGAAGGCGCCACGGCCGCGGCCCCTGTTCACCCACTTGTCCGTGCCCTCGCCCTCGCGGTCGTCGTGCTGCACGGGAAGCCAAGGACAGCAGGTGAGACAGGCTGGCACCGCCCTGCACCGCGCCTCTGCGACCGCCCTTGGGGATCCACTTAATGGGAACCACTCTACAGGGAGCAGGAACAAGCTCTCTTTAGGCAGGAGCCAGCAGCCTCCCGTGAAGCGTCACCCGAAGCCTTACCTGGTGTGTCAGTGACAGCGGGTGCTTTGGCCTCTAAAGCACCTGAGACCGGACACACCTGGAGCGCACGGGTGTCTCAGCACCCAGGTACGTACCAGGTAGTATTTCTTGCTCTTAGGTGTGTACTCAGGGTCCCACTCCTCCTCTCTGCTGCGCTTCTGGAAGTCGTTGTTGCCGCCGCTGTTGCTGTTGTTGTTGCCTGAAAAGTTGCCTCTGCCCCATCCTCTCCCTCGAGCTCTGAACTGCTGCAACAGCAACACAGAGGAGAAAAATAGAACAGCTGCAGAGGCAGTATCCTCCCACTCCAGCCAAGATACCAACATCCCATCCAAAACACCTCTCAAACCTATCACTAAAGCAAGAGGACAGCTTTAGCGGGGCTGCACCACCTCCTGCACTCATGGTTTTGGGGTTTTAGTTCATCTGATCACACACAGCAAATCCAGCTCCTGTAAAGCTGATGAAGATCACCTAGAGGCATTTCAGGGCCACCTCAAGCAGGTGAGACCCCTCTGTACATGGACTGCACAAAGGAGTGTGGCCAAACCCCAGTGGAAGCACAGGGTGTGCCCATCGGGCTGCTCAGCATCACTAAGGCACAGAAGCTTCCAGGCTTTGTTCTGCTCCTCCCATCTGGAGTTTGCTGCCCACAGCACACCCCCAGCAGCCTGGTTTATACCCCAGACCTGGAGCAATTCCACTGGGGCTTATCACCCTGGGGGTTTCTCCTCTAGGGCAGTTTTAACTGAGAACACACAACAGCCCCTTCCTGCCCACTTTGGGAATCAACCCTCAGGGCACAGGTGGAGACCATTTGGGGCAGGGGTGGAGAACACTTACAAAGGTTCCTCTCGCTCTTCCTCTCTCATTTGGACCAGAGAATTCCTTAGTTCCAAGCCGAGACTTGTCAAAGCCTGTGGAGCTCTCCTCCCTCTCCTCAGTCTCCTCGGGATACTCCTCTGCTTTGACTGAATGGGAGGACCACGACGACGACGAGCTGGACCTGGATCTCTCACGCACCCGTCGGTGTTTCCTGTTCCAGTGGTGGGAATGGAGGGGAGTGGGACACAACAGCATTAGGCACTCAGCTGTGACCCATCAGATACAAAACCACTTCTTTACCACTCTCTATCACTGCCATGCTTTCCCTTTACTACTACAAGAGGCTTTAACACAGGGCCCAAGACCTCTCCTGAAGGAACTTGTTGCTCCTTCCTATGGTGTTTACACCATCTGCTCTCAGCTTAGCATGCATCCATGGAGTTCTAGTCAAATGGAAAATTAAGCTTATAGAAAAGGATTAAATGAACATCAAAGCCAAGTCATTTTAACACGGCTGTTTCTCTCTTGACACAACAGGAACAAGAAGGAAAAGTGACTCACCCATCCTGACACATGGAGCTTTCCCATCTACCTTTTACAATTATTTAGTGTTTCTGAGAGATACAATGATAGCGAGACCACACGCAGAGGGGTAGCTCAGGCCACTGGAGGAGTTATGTCACAGGTGCACAACTGTGTGCACAACTGTTGTACACGGTGTCGTCTCCAACCTGAGCAGCAGAGACACGAGAGGCACAAGGAAATGGCTACTGGGTTTCCTACATACTTTTTCTTTGAGCCTTTGTGACTTTTCTCCGTTTTCTCAGTTGATCTTTCCCTTGAGTGACTTGAATCTCTCGAGTCCACCGACTCCCTGGATTTATCGCGTTTAAGATCTCTTTCCTTATGTTTTTTACGGCGTTCAATATCAAGGCGCAGATCAACAGGGTCGTCCTTATATTTCCCTTCAGCCTACAAATGCAGAGGAGAGGGAGGGCAGAGTTGAACACAAGGTCTGCAGTGCCCCAGCTCAGCACCATTTACTTTGCTACTGACTGCACAGACTTCTGGAGAACTGGAGTTTAACTGAGCACTAATGAATATTCCACTTTAAGATGTCAAATAATGCACTACTAAAGTAAGTCTGCCTTTGTCAGAATTCAATTTTCCTACACTTAAAATCACTGATTTTTAAACTTTTAATCTCTTCTTTAAACAGCATTAAAATAAACAGTCTGGTAGAGGGGAGGGAGACATGGAAGCTGACATTTATTGTACACCACAGCCAGCAAGGATGTAAACAACTTGGGGATCCCATCCAGCTGATTATGGGCCACAAGGACAGTGTGGCAGAGCTCTCTGACAGCCCATGGGTGCACCTGAGGTCCTGCTGACAGCCTCACCTGGTCAGGGGCCAGAGGGATTTTAATTCCCAGGTCTAGAAGTAACACTCTGGGAGAAGCAAAAGCTCTTTGCTGCTTGGAGCTACCCAGGATTAGTGATCCAAGGGGCAGGAGGAGGCAGTGAAAGGCAGCATCCAAGGGGTCTGGGAGAAGGCCAACATCCCATGGATAGGGAGGCATTCCTGTCTGTCAGGAAGATTTATTCAGTGCAGATGCCACCTACAGCTCCTTCCCCTGGGCTGGAGGGCACCGTGTGACAGGTGCCACAAAGCC